GCAATGTGGTAGGCATTGATGATACTTTGATAAATGAGGTGTACACAGTCTCTGTCTTATGGAACTTACAACCCAGTTGTGAAGAGAGGTACTGAATAAGTATAACACATATAAATGTTGTGGTGGATAAGTTTTTAGAAGTTTTTGTTGTAGGGGTTGCAAACTCAGATGTCTGCACAGGCCAGGCAGGTAATGTAAAAGAAAGAGTGAGAGCATTGAAACAGCCAAGAGTAGAGGAAGCTGTGATGAACTGCAGAGAACATGAACTGTGTAAATGGTACAGCAACTGACTGCTCAGTTTTATTGATATCATATAGGAGTGAGGACCCATTCCTTATTTCCAAGTTTTTTCAAGAGAAACTGAAAAGTCTAGATTGTCATCCAAGGTATCACAATTTTCTAAGGTACTGTGTAGTCCAAATCAAACATAGTTTTGACTTACAGTCCTCTTTTATATAAGGAATATAGCCTTTTAACTAAGGTTCTATCAAGAAAAAAACTGTGGAGTTGTGAGGGCATGAGGGCATTCTATATAGATTACCCTATTTTCATTTTATTCCTCCTAAATTTTAATGTTATTCCCAAATCCTCCCATTTGTAATTTACACACACACACACACACACACACACACACACACACACACACACACTAGAGGCCTGGTACATGAAAATTCATGCACTGGAAGGGGGTGTCTTTTAGCCTGGCCTGCCCCCTCTCACAGTCTGGGAGCCCTTAGGGGTGGGAGGCGACAGGCGATCAGGGGAAGGCGACGCCCCATCACATCTCTGCTGCTGCCACTGCCGGCAGCACAAGCCTCGGCTGGCCCTGGTTACCTGAACCTCAGGTGGCCCTGGGCGGCTCGGCAGCCACCATTCGAGGCTTGCCTGCGCCTTGAGCTGACCCTGGGCGGCTGAGCAGCCGACATCTGAGGCTTGCCTGCGCCTCCGGCTGGCCCTGGGTGCTGGGGGGCTGAGGGGACTGGGCGCTGCCATCTTTGAGGGTGTGACAGTCAATTAGCATATTCCCTCTTTATTAGATAGGATATATACAGATTTCTTATGGCATAGCTAACAAGACGAGGTGTGGATATAAAAATCATTAGAACATGAAATTCATAAGGGGAAAAAAAGACCTCTGACTCCATTTTACCAGCTTTGTGTTATTGGACTAGCTGCTTACCTTCTTTCTCAGTGCTTAGTTTATTCCTCATCTATACAATGAGAGTAACAGTTAAATTACCTCACGATGGTATGAGAATTAAATAATGTACTAGGAAATGCTTTGTATGTTGTCAGGGCTCTATGAATGTTGTGTTCTTGCCTTTTCTTTTCAACTCCTCTTCCTCCTATTCCCCAGCCATTCAATTGTACCTGACTCATTCTTTTATTGCATTGTACTAGATAGCACCTACTGATACAATAACTTGGGCAATTTTAAAGTTACTAATTCTCTTTAGGGATATTTTCAGTTTTAAAAGAAACTCCTAGAGTCATTGCCTTAACCTAATGTTATGAAAGTTTGATGTACCGCAGGCCAGAGGTTATTGGGTAGGCAGATCTTTGGCTAAAATCCCACAACCAAATAAATGCCTGTTCCACTTATCTTGAAGACAGCTTTCAAATAACATTGTTTTCTTTGGCAGTGGTTGAAACCAGAAGTTGCTGACAGCTTGGTATTTTCTCTCTCGTTGATTTGCATGATGTCTGAAGATAAACACAATACAGAAAGACCACATATAATTTTATCTTTTCCTTCCATCTCTCTTCTTTCATTCCTAGGGAAACGAACTTGATAGGAGTAAACACTGCTAAAACCCAGTCTTTCATAAACATGTGCTTGTGTGTGTTGGGATGTTGGAGCTGTAGGTATCTAGGATACCATAAACATTTCAGTGGCAAGAGACTTATGGTGCCTTTGGGGAAGTTGTGTCTGAATAACAAGAAGCAGTGTCTTTCTTGTAAAATAATAATTCTCAGTGGTGGTGGTAAGGTTGGTAGATGGCAAGGGAGAAAAGAATTACCTGGGGAAAAAAATCCTGTGTTTCTTGTTTTTTTTTTTCAATTTTATTATGAAATATTGAAAGAGCACTATAGTGAATAACCATATACCCATGATGTAGATATAACTACTAATCTTTCCTCTATACATTTTTGAAAAAACACATGGATAATTCTGAATAAGGTTGATGTATGTACTAGAATAATTATTGTTCATTTACTTAGGTGGCACAGAAAGGTATTATGGTTAGTTAGGACAATATACCCATATTAAGAATGTACGTGTGTTTAACCGTTAAGCATTATTTATTTATTTTTATTTTTTAATTACAGTTTACATTCAATATTAATTTGTGTTAGTTTCAGGTGTACAGTGTAGTGGTTAGACAATCATATACTTTACAAGGTTTTGCCCTGATATTTCTAGTACCCACCTGGCACCATACACAGTTACAGCAATATTATTGACTGTGTTCCTTATATTGTACTTTACAATCCTGTGACTATTTTATAACTACCAGTTTGTACTTTTTAATCTTTAATCCCTTCACTTCTTTTACCCAGTATCCTTTACGTATTAATGAGTAAAATGACGTGAAACCTACAGCTGACTTTCAAATTGTTCACCAATAAAAAACAGTTTACTTTCAAGATTGGATTTAATCAAGGATTATGTATGGCATTTTATTGTAATGTCTTTTACAATCTAGAATAACCCTGCCCCCTCATTTTTTTTACTTCACATGTGGAACACTGTACAAGACAATTAGCCAAAGAGTATCTTGGACTTTGTAGGTTTGTTTCTTTGTGTTTATTTTTCTTCTAGCCCCTGTTTTCTTAACTGGAAGTTATGCCTTAAGACTTATTAGGTTAAAGATTTTTGGCAGAGGCACTGCATAGGTAATGCTGTTTACTTCATATTCTATCACATCAGGAAGCACATAATGTCTATATCAGCGGTTCTCAACCTGTGGGTCGCGACCCCTTTGGCAGTCGAACGACCCTTTCATAGGGGTCGCCTAAGACCATCCTGCATATCAGATATTTACATTACGATTCATAATAGTAGCAACATTACGGTTATGAGGTAGCAACGAAAATAATTGTATGGTTGGGTCAAAACATGAGGAACTGTATTTAAAGGGCCAAGAAGGTTGAGAACCACTGGTCTATATTAATGCCAGTGTCACTACAGATTAGGCTTAGTTTAGGAATTGACCTCCAGGCATACTGGCTGTGAGGACCAGCTGTGTCTACAATGGAAGAGCTGCTGTGCAGGACACACCCTTATGGAGCAGGACTTGCTTCAGTGGGGCTTTAGTGCTTCTGTGAGTCTGCCCCTTGAGTGTGTCACTTATGGATGTGAAGAGTTGTAATCTGGTATGGTCTCACACTGATCACTGGGTACACTGGCTCTTGGATCTCCAAGGAGGTGCAAAGTCAGCCACTGCCTGGGGCCACCCCTCAGGAGCTACAGAGAGATCTGCAGATTCTTCCTCTTTGTATGGGGTTTGGAAGTACCCAGATGAGGCCCAGCTGTGAAGCAAGGCAGGCTGCTGTGGTGCTGGCCTTTTCCTTCTTTTGATAGCTTTGAAGCTCCCTGACCCAGCTGCAGTTTGACAGGTTTTAGGCTGAGAAAAGACCGGCCATTCATATGCAAAAGCTGCTGGGCTCAGTTTGGGTGAGGTTGTAAATTGGATGGGGTGCGGTCTCAGGGAATCTCCAGGGTGGAGCAAACAGCCATGGCTGCCAGTCAGCCCTGCACCAGGGAGGTCCCAGCCCAGGAACTATGACAGTTGCGAGCACCTCTGTCTGGAAGAAAGCCACCTCTGCGTTCCTGCCCCGATGCCAGACAGTTCAGTTTCTGCCCGTATGTTTCTGGGTCCCCCCGAGTCTCGCCCAGCACTGGAGTTCAGAGCAAGCGGGAGCTTGTATCTCCCTCCCGATTAAAAAAGCAGCACAACCGGGTGCCATCCTGTTCTGTGCCTCCGCACCTGAACCCTCCCACCAGTCTCAATGTGCTTTCTTCTTTACCTCTTTAGTTGTAGTACTTCCACTTAGACAGCTTTCCCGCAGTTCTGGATAATAGCTGTTCTGTATTTTAGTTGTATTTTTTAAAAATATATTTTATTGATTTTTCTTTTTTTTACAGAGAGGAGGGGAGAGGGATAGAGTGTTAGAAACATCGATGAGAGAGAAACATTGATCAGCTGCCTCCTGCACACTCCTTACTGGGGATGTGCCCGAAACCAAGGTACATGCCCTTGACCGTAATCGCACCTGGGACCCTTGAGTCCGCAGGCTGACGCTCTATCCACTGAGCCAAACCGGTTAGGGCTTTAGTTGTATTTTTGATATGGTTGTGGGAGGCAGGAAGTACATGTGTTTACCTATGAGAGTTTTAAAGAAGTGCTCTGCAAGCTGTAAGGATGTCTAATTATATGAACAAATAAATATTTATTAACTACTCATTAATGCAGTATTGCATGTCTCCAATATATCTGTTGCTTACTTCCAGGCCCTTTTTGATCATTGCAAATACTAGTACATTCTGAATTGTGGTTCGATTTAAAGTTTTTAAATTATTGGTAAGGCATATTCTCCTTTTCCTATTGATGCCTCGTCTTAAATAACATCAGTGTTTGGTCATCACAGAAGAGGCAGAGGCTGATGGGTAGGCAATCACTAGTATATGCCAACTATAATATTAATTTATATGTGACAATTTCCACATACCACATAAAAGGTATTCACATGCAAAATGAAATTATGGTATTTTAATCTTCAAAACAAATGCATATTCATTTTCATGTTGTCCTCTTAAGTGCTACTTCATGATTGTCATAAGAAGTCAGTGTTTCAATCTAATTTATTAATTGCTTACTGTTCTTACTTTTGTCTTGGGTACAGTTTATTTCCCTATGAGATTAAGTTCCTCAATATTACATGATTTTGCAAGTAATTTCTGATTCTTTTTAACTAATTGGTACTTGTTCTTCTAGGTGGATTCTCCACAGTTTTCCTGGTGCGGACTCATGGTGGAAACCGCCATGCATTGAAGCGAATGTATGTCAATAACTTGCCTGACCTCAACATTTGTAAAAGGGAAATTAAAATTATGGTAAGTGAAAGAGTAATTCCATTTAAAAAATTGGTATATTCTTTTGGTTTTGTACTATAACTTTAACCAGCTTTTAGGCAAACTGCTTGTTGGTTTATGCACATCTAGAAAACCTTCGAACCTCATTAAATTAACTTGGAAAATTATATGGGAGTTTGAAGTATATTCTTTGTAGCCACACTTAGGGCTAAATACAGCCAACTCTTTCCTGTCCTCTTTCTTTTCTTCTTTACTGTTGTTCAGTGGGCATGTTATTCTGCTTTCTTTTTTAAAATTAACTATTGATAATTTTGAGGATAGAAAAATTTAGAGAATTATATAATAAACACCAATTTACTCACTACCCAGGTTACTAATTAGAACCTTACATACAGTTGAAGTTTTTTGTGTATTCCACTCCAAACATATCTCTGTACTGTTCCCATCTGGAAAGTAACCACTGTCCTGAGTTTGGTGTTTTCCATTCATATATTAATTGTATGTGTTTGTATTCACAGACAGTGATTAGTTTTACTTTTTATTTTTAAAATCTTGCCATAAATTGTTCAGTTTTTTTGGTGTACTCTGCAATATCTAAGATATCCTATAGCAAGAGAACAATTCTTTTTAAATGTTAGGAAAAGTAAAAAGTATTACTTTTTAAAAAACATTTTCTTTTTTAAAAATCCTCACCTGAGGATACGTTTATTAATTTTAGAGAAAGAGAAAGGGAGAAAGGGAGAAGGAGAGGGTGAGGGAGGGAGGGAGAAATATCAATTTGTTGCTTCCTAACCTGGGATCTAATGGGCAACCTAGTAATGTGCCCTGACCCAGAATTGAACCTGCAACTTTTTGGTGTACAGGACAATGCTCTAACTAATTGAGCCACTTGGCTGGGGCTAAAAAGTATTTTAATAGGCCATTAAATAAAAATTCAGTAAGCAGTAAAAAAAATTACAAAATAGCAATTTCCCTGTTTTCTAACATTCTCAGTGTTCTGGATGGCTGCTGCTTACTGTTCTTGTATGCTCCCACCTCCTTCCCTTTTCCCTTATCATCTACTGTTTATCAAGTGCTAATATATAAAATAAAAGAGAAACATGCAAATTGATGTCACTCCGCTACACCCACCAGCCAATCAGGATGAGTATGCAAATTAACCCAACAAAGATGGTGGTTAATTTGCATATGCAGGCACGGAGCGAAGACTGAAGGCTCTGGCCCTAGCGAAGTCTGAAGACTGAAGACTACTGAAGTCTGAAGAGGCTTGGCTTCTCCGCTGTGGCTGGAGCAAAGGCTTGGGTCCCAGGTGCCAGAGGAAAACCCGTGCCGGCAGCCAGGGGAAGGAAGGCCTATTGCATGAATCTCTTCATGCAACGGGCCTCTAGTATATATATATTTATAATTTTTTAATTGAGGTACAATTCACAAAATATAAAATTGACCATTTTAAGATGAATAATTCAATGAATGACATTTAGTACATTCACAATGTTTGTGCAGCCACTACCTTGATCTAGTTCTAAAACCTTTTTATCACTCCAAAAGGAAACCCTCTTGTCCATTAAGCAGTTGCATTCCATTACTTGATTTAGCTGCTGACAACTACCTGTCTACATTATGTCTCTGTGGATTTATCTATTCTGATTATTTCATATGAATTCCACTTATATGAAATAATCAGAAGAGATAAATGTGACCTTTTGTATCTGGCTTCTTTCACTTAATGAGGTTTACGCACATTGTAGCATGTATTTTATTTCATTCTTTTTTATGGCTGAATAATATTCCGTTTTATATACATACATCACAATTTGTTTATCTGTTCATCTGTTGTTGGACATTAAAAAAAATCAGTGAATATTTGGGCTGTTTCTGCCTTTTGGCTATGTGTATAGTGCTGCTATGAATATGTGTATAATGTGTATTTGTTTAAGTACCTGTTTTCAGTTCTTTATATATATATATCTGGGAATGGAGTTGCTGAGTCATATGGTAATTCTGTGTTTAACTTTTTAAGGAACCACTAAACTGTTTTCCTCAGTAGCTGAACCACATTATAGTCTTCCAGCAATGGATGACTGTTCCAGTATTTTTAAAAATTAATTTTTAAGTACAATTGACATTCTATATTATATTAGTTTCAGGTGTACAGCCTGATGGTTAGACATTTATATATGAATGTTCAGTTTTTCTGCATTCTTGTTTTTCCATACTTGTTATTTATGTCAGTCCTACTTATCCAGCTACTAAGAGGGAGATTTCTTATTTTTTGTCAACATGTTTATCAGCACACCTATTTTGATCCCTTTAGTTTGAAGATAGGCACATTTATACAGTCTGACTTATCTCAGTTCTGCTTTTGTTGTTCCTATTTCTTACTTTGAGACTTGCTTTTTTTAAAGGTAAGGCTATAAGCCAAAAGAATAAAATGATTTACCCCAAGATAATGGGAGAATCTTAGCCCAAGTTCTCTAACTAACTGGAGCTTAGATAAGTACCTAGATATGGTACTTTTAGTAGAATGTGTATAATTTAGAGACAAAAATATAGTCATCATCAACATTAGCGACACTCAAGTCTTAGGCTTTTGAACAAGATATTTTAGGGATATTAGCTCTGTAGCGCAGTGGTCTTCCAACTGTTTTTGATGATCCATCTTTATTACATATACTTATTTATGAATTAGTGACATGTTCAGCTGCCATTAGCCAATTGTCAGATTTCATTGCACAATTAAAACTAGGTTTATTATTAGTGATAGTGGATGTAAATTCAGTTAAAATAATATTCTTGATAATTGTTTTTTAATTTCCAGATAGATATGATTGGATCATGATTACTATAAACCTCAGTATATGCTGATGATTAACTTATACTAGGAGCTGAAAGTGTCAGATTTGCCATTTTCTTATTATATCCTTGTACTTGTATTATAAGTACCATCATTATGGTTTCTTTACAGAAGTATTTTAGGCCACTTTGTTTACTTTACACATTAATTGCAATGTTGCATGCAAAACATGCAAATAAGAATATAATTGTTAATTCATAAATATAGGGATGGGCAAAAGTAGATTTACAGTTATTTGTAAGGAAAATACAAAATAAACTCTGTTTTTTGTACTCACAACTGTAAACCTACCTTGTGCATCTCTGTATTAGAACTTATTATTTTTCTAGATAAAAATAAATATAAGTAAAAATTCTGATATTTTATTCTTGAATCTCTAAGGACTATCTTGTACACTCACTTTTGGAGACTATTACTTTAGAGTGAACCATCTTTCTTCTTGATTGAATTTTAAGATAAGTATTCACTAAATATTTGCCTGTCAGTAAATGACAGTCACATGTAAATACTTTCCATCAGAACTATAGAAACTTTTTTGAAATATGTCAGATTCCATACTTATGCCTGTCTTACTTTATGAAATTCTCTAAGTACATTAATTAAGACTTCAAACCATTGGCAATGATAAAGCTTTAAAATGTATATTTTCCAATTCTTGAAATTTTATTTCTTTTTTACAGAAAGAGCTATCTGGTCACAAAAATATTGTGGGTTATTTGGATTGTGCCATTAATTCAATTAGCGATAATGTATGGGAAGTACTTATCTTAATGGAATATTGTCGAGGTAAGTGTTTTTCTGCATTTGTTTTAAATTAAAAAAAGGCCTTAAAATAGGTTAATAGGTGTCTTGGTCTCTCCCAGGACAGCTGTCACTTTATTCTAGACACTTACTGCAATCTCAGCTTTAATCATCTGTCTAAGGAATGCTGTTAAAAATATTTAAAACCTAAGTTATAGTTGCTGCAGTGATGATATGAGCAGATAAATGGACAAAGGAAATGCTATTGGGTTTAAAATAGGAAATCTAAGCAGGTAAAGAGCAGTTACACTTCATGCTTTCTATACAATTCTTTTATAATCTAGCCAAGAAGAGCATAATGTATCAATATTACATTATGTTATAAGATTTCTTTCAGCACTCTACCATGTTATCTTTCAACATATTAAATGTAATACATTCAGAGGATTATTTTGATCTATAATTTTTATAAACTTGTATTATTTGGCATTTTGGGGTTCTTTTGTAAGATATTAGAAGGTAGAAAACCATATTTTTTGGACCTAATGTGATATTTAAAAATAATAATTACTTGTATAGTATGCCTTAAGAATAATAAGATAACTTTAAAAAAATCCTTGAAATTTTTTTTTACTTTATGCATGAAAGGGCAATTAATCTATTTGCTGCAAACTTAGAAAAAAAAAATCAGACTGTATCTGGCAATTTGGGCTCTAGGGAGTCCTGGTTTATATTTAGACTAGAGGCCCGGTGCACGAAATTCATGCACTGGGCAGAGCGGGGAGAGTCCCTCAGCCCGGCCTGTACCCTCTCGCAGTCCAGGATCCCTCGCTCCTGACCGCCCACTTGCTCGCTGCTCCTTACCACTTGGCTCACTGCTCCTTAGCGCTGCTGCGGAGGCGGGAAAGGCTTCTGCCACCGCTGCTATGCTCACCAGTCCTGAGCCCAGCTTTTGGCTCAGCAGCGCTCTCCCTGTGGGAGTGCACTGACCACCAGGGGGCAGCTCCTGCATTGAGCATTTGCCCCGTGGTGGTCAGTGCGCATCATAGTGACCACCATAATGGTCGCTTAGGCTTTCATTATATAGTCTTAAGACAGTTATGATTATTAATTATGATACCAGAAACTCTTGTCATTTCCTTAAGGTTGTAGGAGAAGGATGATGTAGTGGTGATGTAGAAAATATGGTCTCATTCAGTCTCCTGAGGAGGGAGGACAGAGGGAAATAAAAGGAATTAATATTATAATATCTATTGTGATGTATTTTTAACTTATTTTCATTTATAATATAAGAAGTTAAATGTTTTCCTGATTGTTTTCTCTTATTCATATCTCATGTTCTCTAATGTAAAGCATTTTGATCTCTTTAAGGAGAAGATATTGATTCTCTCTATCTCACTTTCTTGAATCTAGCATTATCAGTTCTTATTCTTAGCTGGATTATAGTTGACCAGTAGCCCTAACTTTTTAAAGATAATTGAATTGGGCATAATCATAACCCTAGATGAATTTAAATAATTGTCACCAGAAGACATTTTAAAAGGGGGACCAAAGGAACTTCCAATATTTAGGGGACAAATTGTTTTGAGGAAGGCATTCTTTTGCTTTTTAAAAATTAATAGTTTAAAAAATCTGGTTTGAATCAACAAGCTTTTTTTCTTACATGACATTTTTATTTTGATCAAAGTTATTCATGTATATATTTTAAAAAGTCAAATATATCTGTTAAGCTGTGGCTAAATCAATATCTTCCTGCCCCATCCCTCTCTTCCAAGACATGCTCTTTAAAATATTTGAGATGTTTCTTCTCATGTTTATTTCTATATTTCTATAATGCATTTTGTAGAAAAGAATTGGTAGTGTTAGTGAGATTCTTAGAGTATGAAAGAGAAGGAAGCAACTTAGAAAATCAGGGTACGAAGTATGTGATTCTGGGTTCTAGAAAGTTTGTTAGTGCTGATTTTCTGTTTTAGATCGTATCTTCAGGGAAAGATGAGGATTTTACTTGTCAGTGTAGTGTAGTCTCAACTTTTGGATTGAATTAATAATTAGTGTTTAAATTTTTTTGTCTGCCATTAAATTGTGACATGTAATAGCCTGTAATTGCGTTTTTTTTTCTTATACTTATTATTTTTCCTGGAGTTTATAATTATGCCAATTTTCATTTGCTGTGTTTTCTTTATACATATTAGTATTTTAGCCCCACATTTCCCAATGAAAGTGTAAATCTTTACACACTACATGTAAACATTTTAATATTTGTGTCAATTTCATTTTTTCTTTCCTTAGAAACATCCTTTTGGTAGACTTAGTTCTGTTTAATTTTGAACAGCATTTAGCTGTCATTTTTCGAATTCCCTTTGCCTTCCTCCTATTTTAGACTCTCTGCTGCTCATGCCTCCCACTTATTTTTATTTTTTTTTAAAGTATGTTTTTATTGATTTCAGAGAGGAAGGGAGAGGGAGAGAGAGAGAGAGAAACATCAGTGATGAAAGAGAATCATTGATTGGCTGCCTCTGCATGCCCCCTACTGAGGCTTGAGCCCACAACCCAGGCATATGCCCTTGACCAGAATAGAACCTGTGATCCTTCAGTCCGAAGGCCGACGCTCTATCCACTGAGCCATGCCACCTAGGGCCCCATTTATTTTTATTACTGTCTTTGGTAGATTACATTTTCATTAGTTTTCTGATAATGGATTTATGGAAGAAAATATTTTTTTCAAATAGAGAGAGAGAGGGAGAGAGAATATGAATATCCATATATTGTTCCACTTATTCATTCATTGGTTGACTCTTGTATGGGCCCTGACTAGGGATTGAACACTCAACCTTGGCAAATCAGGACAATGCTTCAACCAACTGAGCTACCTGACCAGGACTGGAAGAAAACATTTTTGAAACCTTGCATATGTAAAAATATTTTTATTCTACATCCATATTTGTTAATTTGGCTGGATAAAGAGTTGTAGTTTAGGTATAATTTGATCTATAATTTTAAAGGTATTACTTTTTTCCTACTGTTACTATTGAGCAGTTGGATGCATTATGCTTTCTCAATTTTTTAATGTGACCTATTTTTTTCCTTGCACACTTTTTAAATCTTTATCCTCAGCATTCTAAAATTTCAAGATATATGTGCCTTGGTTATGGATCATTTTGGTGGTACTTTTTTTGCTGTGCGCTCAGTTTTTTTCTCTTTCATTTTCTCTGTTCTCTTCTTTTGGACTTTTAATTTTTAGGGTATTAGTCTTCCTAGATTTATTACTGGAGAGCTGGTCAAGTTGAAGGGAGCTTGACTCTCTCCTCCTTGGCTCTTGTCATACCTGCGATAAAGCAGACAAGTGACAGCAGTGTTGAAGTAAAACAGCCAATTTATTAAGAATATATTTGGCATAAAGCACAAGTGGGCAACTCAGCCAGTCTGAGTGCACTGCCTTGTGGGGGTTGAAGGGTTTTATACTTGCCCTGCCTATAGGTTTCAAAGTTCCTCTGCAGGATAGACTAGATTTCAGAGTCCTCCTTTTACATTGTTGCAACTTTTCCCAGAATTTGTGAGAACATCTGGTGACTTTTATCTTGGCAAGTCCCAAGACTACTGACTTCTTTGTTCACTGGGTGAGATAAACTTCCCTTTTTCTTTTCCCTTTTTTCTCTCTCTGCTGTAACAACTATCTTTCCTGCCTAACATCCCCCAAGTGATACCATCCAAATGCTTTTGGGGTTTTGTTGTTTGTGCCCCAGTCTTTATCTGTCCTTGGGTTTAGCTGTCACAAATGGCATTAATTGGTTCTTTGTATAAACCATCTGTTCTCAAGTGTCCTTGGTTGGGGAGGATAAGGTCTTGTGATTCATAAGCTGGCTGGAAGCTGCCCAAACTTTTTGGCCTTGTTTAATTTTCTTGTCTCAGTTTCCCCATTCCACTTGTCCAGGAATTTTCCTAGCTTCTTACTATCCTGCCACGTATTGATCAATTCTCTGATTTTCTTTCTTTGATTTTTCTTCTCTTTTATTTTTTATTTTGCTTGTGTTGGGAGCATTCCTTCAATTTATCTTTGAGCTCCTCTATAGAATTTTGTATTTCTGCCATGTTATATTTAATTTCTAAGAACTCTTTTTTTGTTCTCTCAATATTGTTGTTCTTTGTTAAAACATACCTTGCTCTTGTTTTAGGTGCAGATATTTTGTTTTTTTACAGATATTATAGCTTTAAAATAATTTTTTTTTTGTTCCTGGCATTTTTTTTCCTGTTTGTTAATATGCTCTCTCCATTATGTTACAAGTTTTCTTTAAATATTTTACCTGATAAGTTAGAGAATCTGAATAGAGTATGCTCAGTTCCTTTTCTCAGATGAATAAATGAGAAATTCTCAGTGGATTGGAGGGGTAGAGAATGGGTGAGCAAAAATGCTCTCCCTTTACTTCCTCCATAAAAGCAAATTGTTTTACATAAAATTGTTTAAGAATGAAGGTATTTTAGTGAGGGAGTCAGTGTTGTATATATAGTTCAGGTACACTGTGTTTTGCATTATGTAGAGAGAAAACTGTATAGAAAGTAGATGTTAAATAGCTTATATACCCCACCATGGTTTCAAGTATCAAATGTTTACAATCATCTTTTCTCCAGAATTAGATCTCTGCAGGTTCATGATGTGACACTGCTTAATTTGCTAATGTGCTTAAGAGAGGTTTTATGTGCTTTGGTTATCAAACTTTCAGAAATCAGAGTTAGTATTTTGAATATATTCTTATTATTTTATGAAAAGAGCTTTTTTTTGGGGTGGGGCGGGGGGATGTTTTACAGAAATTCCTATGGATAATCTGTTAGCTTTTGCTTAGTAACAAAACATTACAAAACTCAATAGCATAAAACAACAGTTATTTATTATTGCTTGTGTATCAATGGGCCAGCAGTTCTAGGTTGAACTTGGTGTGGTGACACCACTCATTTTGACTGGGCTTGCTCATATGCCAGTGGGTTTGCTGGGACTGGTTTTACATATTTCTCATCTTCCTGGCATTGATAAGCTATCCTGGGGATACTTTTCCATGGACATGGTAGAAACATAAGAGGGCAGGTAGAGGATGTGAGGGCTCCTAAGGCCTAGACTTGGGACTGGCACACTGCCACTTCTGCCTTATTCTGTTGTATAATCAGATAGGAAGGGTTGACTGCTTACTTTGAGAGGTTAGGGAAATGTTGACTTTTTTATTTTAGTGCTGAAATTGGCAAGAGTATATAAGATTTTGCTTAGGAGATGATACCCGTTTGGAAAATATGGAAAGATTTGAGAGCTCTCTGCATCTTGTTTTAAAAGACCTTCAGTATATATATATTTAAATCTTACTTTTCATTACAATAACCTCACTTTAACATAATTTTCAGAAGAGTTTGATTTTGAATAATAAAATATTTTTTGTGTCTCCATTAGAAATGCAGCTCAAATATAGCTTTTAGGTTGTTTTTTTTTTGGGAGGGGGGGGCTGAATTTTGTCATTCAAGGTTATTAGCTCAAATATCTCTCAATGGAAGAAAGAGGATTAACATTTATTTAAAATTCATTCTATTCATTACAACATTGAACCTTTAGAAGAGGTGAAATGAGTTTAAGATTTTGATTTCTTTAGCTGTGAAATGATATTTCAAGAATATGAATGAATACCTAGAAAACAATTTTTATCCTGTTTAATTTTGGGTCAAAATGAGTTAGTGTGTCTGACAAGAGGGTGAAGGAAATTGTTGCCTGGTCAGGCACCTCACTCTTATTAGATACCCTGAACAAATTACAGCGAAATGGGCTTGTGTTTTCAGAAAGTTGGAGGTTGGTAGGTAAATGTTCATGTCCTTTTTGCTTTAAAAGTCTAAGAAAAGAAACAACCATTTCAGAAAATACAAGAAAATGCTGTTGAGACAGTAATAATAAAAGGAACAGCTATATGTGCACCTTCTTAAAGATTTCAAAGTAGCAAGCATTCATTTATTCAAGCTTGTTAAAAGAAAGTTTCAAGTTAACATAAACTTGCCTTTTTAAAATCCCCAAACATGATTTTTATCAGACTAGCTTCTGAATGAATCACATATTTACTTTTGCTCTTAAAATATAATGATAGTTAATTTCTTAATAATTAAGAATTGTCATTATTAGACTGCAATTATTGTGGTATATTGTATATTATTATTATATATTCTCTCAGGACTCATGTGTGGCAATTTAATTTTAGTAAGTTACTCTGCCCATTATCCCTTACCTAGTTTAGAGTATTAGCCTCTTATCCATTTCCACTCTTCTGATTCCCTTATCCCTCAGTCAAGGAAATCTTTTAAAAACTCAGATAAGGAAGTTTCTTTGGTTCTTAAATGTAAGTATTTCTGATTGCTTTCTGCCTCATCCGTCTCTTCTCACCTTACCCTCTTCTTTGCTTCCTAGACCATGTCCACATTGGCTTCCTTTAAGCTACTTAAAGTCATTAAGCTCTTTCCCAAACTGGAGGCCTTTGTAATTGCCACTTGCTACCCCTAATCTGCTCTTGTTCCAGATCTCTTCCTGGTTAATTCCTACCTACCCTTCATTGTAAACATTAATATCACTTCCTTAGATTGGCCTTATCTGGCACTCTTTCTTCCTCATCCTCCTCCACCAATTTAAACATAGATTTCTCTCTTATTATTCTTACTAGAGGCCCAGTGCACGGATTCATGCAGCACTGGGGGAGGGGGGGTCCCTTGTCCTGGCCTGTGGGATTGGGTTGAAACCGGCTCTCCGACATCCTCTGAGGGGTCCCAGATTGTATTCAGTGCAGGCCAGGCCGAGGGACTCCACCGGTGCATGATCGGGGCCAGGGAGGGACACAGGAAGTTGGCCAGCCAGGGAGGGACTGTGGGAAGGCTCCAGGGCATGTCCACCCGTCTCACTCAGTCCTGATTGTCCGGACCTCAGCAGCAAACTAACCTACCAGTCGAAGCGACTGCCCCCTGGTGATGAGTGCACGTCATAGTGACTGGTCGACCAGTCGACTGTCTGCCCCCTGGTGGTCAGTGCATGTCATAGCGAGCGGTTGAGGGGCCTTAGCAAATCATTAGCATATTACGCTTTGATTGACTGAACTGACGACTGGATGACCGGACACTTAGCATATTAGGCTTTTGTTATATACGATTGTACATAATTATGACGTGTTTATGTGACTTTTTAATGTCTACCTCTGCCTTTACACTATAAATTCTATGATAATAGCAACTTTATTTTTGTTTACCATTGTTTACCCAATAATTAGCATAGTGTGAAATAAACTTTTAAAAAATGCCGTCAATTATAAGGTACACTCTGATTTCAGATATGTTAAAATGTTAAAACATGGCAATTGCATTAGCAGGACATCATCTATGTAAGATGTTCTCATGTTAGAGATGTAAAATATGATAAAATGTATTTCATTGAATCAGTACTTCATGGTGTAATAAGCATCCTTACAGGAGAATTATGAAAAAGCCAATTCCCTAGTACCTGAGACCGTAATTGAATTTCTTAATTGCTTTGTGATAGACTGCATGTATACAAATATGTCCTCTCAAAATTACTTTTTTGGTTAGCTGGGCAGGTAGTGAATCAGATGAATAAGAAGCTACAGACAGGTTTTACGGAACCAGAAGTGTTACAGATATTCTGTGATACCTGTGAAGCTGTCGCAAGGTTGCATCAGTGTAAGACTCCAATAATTCACCGGGATCTGAAGGTACAAAATTTAGAATCCGCATGTATTGATGCATTTTTAACTTTCAAGTTAAAATGTTCTTGGGCTATCTTCATCTAAATCAGTTTTTCTTATTAGAACTGAGCTTGGCCTCTGTCCCCTGCTGCATTTCCTGAGGTCATCTAAAGACTGGCTGTAGCTTGGGTGGTGATTATCTTTAAAGTCATACTATATTTTAACCTTTTTGTGCACTCAGACCTCTTGTATCTGATACCCTTATTACATTGGAAAAAGTCCCCAAAGTGAATCGAACATTTCTGGTATCATATTACTAGAGATGCCAGTGCACATACCTTGTAAAACTATAGGTGTCTTCTTTGGTACCCACAAACATTAAGATTCCAAAAATTCCTCTTCCTGAAATACTTTATGCACAGATATCCCATGGCTAACCTTTCACTCTTCAAGTTTGCTCAAGTTCACCTTCTCACCGAAGTTCTGTCTTACACTGCCTCACTTACAATTACAACCTAACATTCCTGTTTTCTACCTGCTCTCCTTTTTATTATCACTTCTCACCTTCTAAGATACTATGTAATTTGCTTCTGTATTATGCTATTGTTTATTTTCTCTCTTCTCCCACTAAAATATAAGCTCCATATGGACAAGGATTTTTCTCTTTTGTATTAATGGATCCAAGCTTTTAGAACAGTGCCTGGTACATAGTGTGCTCCACGACAACATCATCCAGGGAACCCTGTGGTAAAAGGATACAAGTTAAGTCAAGGTTGAAACGCATGACTATGTCCCTTAATTTGGGTAACCAGTATAGTTTATTTCAGTTCTTTTGAATATACAACTTTTACATTTCCCTAATAATTTGTATGATTTTTTTTAGATTATTTAAAATTACTAAAAGTTAACTTTTTTCATGTAGATACTTTATCTGAGTCTTACTGATTTAAAACTGGAATTGTCTTACTGCACAATTTAGTATAGACCATATTTCATATGTTTAGTTTTTTTTACATGTGTAAATTTAAGCAAACTTATGTATTTTAAGTAGATTTCTTATACAGATATTTATTGTGTGCAAATCTTTTAAAAAGTAGACTAAAATGAAATCTAGAAGAAAAACTATAAGGAAACAGTAATGTATTTTGATAGGATTGAGAGAAATTGAATTGCTCTCCAAGACCATGTCATAAAAATAAAAAAACATATATTGCCCTAGCTCAGTGGTTCTCAACCTTCTGGCCCTTTAAATACAGTTCCTCATGTTGTGACCCAACCATAAAATTATTTTCGTTGCTACTTCATAACTGTAATGTTGCTACTGTTATGAATCGTAATGTAAATATCTGATATACAGGATGGTCTTAGGCGACCCCTGTGAAAGGGTCGTTCGACCACCAAAGGGGTCGCGACCCACAGGTTGAGAACCGCTGCCCTAGCTGGTTTGGCTCAGTGGATGGAGCGTCAGCCTATGGACTGAAGGATCCTGGGTTCAATTCCAGTCAAGGGCACATGCTTGGGTTGTGGGCTCAATCCCTGGTGGGGGGCGTGCAGGAAGCAGCTGATCAATGATTCTCTCTCATCATTGATGTTTCTCTCCCTCTCCCTTTCTCTCTGAAATCAATAAAAATATATATTAAAAGAAAAATAAAAAATATTGTGGAAAAATGTAATAAAATGGCATCACTTGTTGAGTACTTACCTTACAGTGGTTGAGTATTCCAGCCACTGTTCTAAGCAATCTACATATTTTAATTAATTTACTTTTTATAATAATAGATACCATCTCTCCCATTTTATAGAGATGGAAACTAATGCACAGAGTGGTAAAGCAAATTGTCCAAGGGTATGCATGTTAGTGAAGGAGCAAAGTTGGGCTGTGAATCCACACTATCCTGTTCTAGAAACTGTGCATGTAATTTGTTCACTTAAATTACTACAACTCTAATCTCCAAGTTAAGGCATAAAGTCAAGTCTTGTTTTTCAGTATAGTATTTTTTTTTTAAATCCTCACCTGAGGATTTTTCCATTGATTTTTTTAGGCAGAGTGGAAGGGAGGGAGGAGGGGGGTAGAGAGAGAGAGAGAGAAACATGGATGTGAGACACATCGATTGGTTGCTTCCTGCATGTTCTGACCAGGAAAACGAACCTGCTACCGAGGTATGTGCCCTTGACTGGGACTTGAACCCGAGATCCTTCAGTACCTGGGCTGACACTCTAACCACTGAGCAAAAATGGCCAGGGCTCAGTATAGTATTTTATATAAAAATGGTATGAAAAATCAGAGTTAGAATTTTAATGCTTTTTTGTTATTGCTTGTCTATAGATAAGGTAAAGTGTCAGAAATGGAGAGAAATGGAGTTATAGTATAAACTGTGACTGCTACAAGTTCCTCTCTTTCACTGAAGCACTTTTAGAGAGGATTTATTTGGGGTTTCTTGTCCCCTGCAAAAATCATCCTGAGATGGGAGAAGCACTTCTCTGTTTTTAGTAAGAGAGGCAATAGACATAGTAGAGTATATTTTTTGTCTGATTCATTTGTCTTTCCTCATAATTTGAGGTATCATATACAGGGGTATATAGTGTGTGTGTGTGTGTGTGTGTGTGTGTGTGTGTGTGTGTGTGTGTATGTGTGTATGTATGTGTATATGTATATGTATATATCACAAACTCATCAATGTTTGTGTAAGGTCATGGTTGTAAAAAGATAATCTTAATTTTGAAAATAGTACTAATTATTGATTTTTTTTCTCTTAAGGTAGAAAATATTTTGTTGAATGATGGTGGAAACTATGTACTTTGTGACTTTGGCAGTGCCACTAATAAATTTCTTAATCCTCAAAAAGATGGAGTGAATATAGTAGAAGAAGAAATTAAAAAGTAAGTGTTTATCTTTATTGCATTTGTCTTAAGGGAATTTTAGTTAACTTGGGTCTGTGATCAGCTCTGCTGATACATATTTTAGATATTCCATTCATATTTCTTCAAAATACCTTTATACCATAGACATTGATTAATTTATGTCTGATCTAGCTCAATAGGAAATACATTTTACCATGGAAACAAGTTTTTCATCTACGTTTTAAACACATTTATCAAGAAAGTTGTTAAATAAGCTGTAGTAATGAGTGGAACCATTAAAGGCAGTTTTCACTGATTGTTGAATTCAGTTAAGCATCTTTATTTTTAGTAGTACTGTTTTTGTTAGGAAAAATTAAATTATTTGAAAACATTTAAACTTACTTCATATTTAATATTAACAAGTTGACTTCTGTATGTATTGAAAACTATGTTGAAAATGTGTTACTTAGTAATAGTGTACTGGAAAGCTTTCTGGTAGAAAAATAAGTCATATCTGCTTTATGTTTCCTTATTCTTGTACTTTTCATGGTTGCTAGATTACTTGTGAAGACTTTTCTGTTTTAGAAAATGGAACTGTTTGTAAGTCTTAGATTACCTTAATAAAATGATACAGACTGCAGAAAGATCTGTCAGAATAGGAATTTATAAGTAGTTGCCTTTCCTGAGTTGCCCTCTTCTTCACAAATTCTCAGTTGTTTTAAACTGTCTAGGAGTTGTTATTTGAACTGTAACTTATATTTTGAAATAGCTCAAGTAGAGCTGATATTACCCTGGCTTAGTTGTATAGCACTATGGATTTCTAGACTATGTATTTCTATCCAGAGAACTTAGCTTATGGTGATTATATTAGATTCCATAAAAACAAACTCCTTAGTAAACATATAAATGTCCTAAAGAATTCAAGAACAGTAAATTATAGAATTGACTTCTTGCGAATGCAATTTAAAAAAAAAAGATTGGATTGTGATATATAATGGCTGCTTTGGTTCTGCTCAAGCACCTCTAACTTGCTAGGTTTTATTTCTTGTTGAGATCTGAAGTATAGTTAAGGTTTAATAGAATTTTGCATTAATGATGAATGTAAACTTATGAGGGTGTGCTTTGTGGCTCAGTTGAAGAGTTAATGGCCCAACCATTTACTTAATTAATAGGTATTTATTTAGGGCCTGCAATGTAGTGGACACTGAAGGATAGCAGTAAGGGGGTGCTGCAGGCTAGCAGTGAACAAAAGTCCTGCCTGCATGCATTTCATATTCTGGTTTCTTGGGTTGCTTCTCTGTATCATTCAGAATGTCCCACCAATCAGGGTCATTGAAATCAGTAACATTGTAGAATGCTCACCTTTAAGAACACTTTGTGTAAAATAAAACCTATAAACAGTCAAAATGAATTTTAAATTATGCCATGATACAGGAAGTTCTTCCATATTTTTGTAATTTCTGCCATGAAATCGAGCACTACTTCATTAAAATATTCTGTTCATAATGTATTTGGGGTTTTTATATTGGTTAATATTCAGTGTCTTATAATTCCAAATAGCTCATGATGGCAGTATTAGAATTGTACTTAATTAGTGTAGTTAAAATTATGGCACCTACATTTTTTTAAAACTACAATTATAAAAACAAACTTAAAGGAGATTTACTGCCGTGTGCAAGGAAGTACGTTAGAGTCCATGAAAACAAACTCCTTAAGTGAACATATAAACTAATATTTTGAAAGAAGTTTTATTTTTAAATTGATTAAAATATTTTGATAAGGATATTTTGAGTTATATTATTTCAAATAAAGAACTCAAGGAAAACTATGTTTCCAATACATTGTCTTTATTTAAAATTTTTGTATTAAAGAGAATTAAGTTTTTATCATTAGAGATGCTATTGTGCTTGTTGAATAAAAATGTGTATGCATACATGTTTTGTATTGTTTAATCCTTGATAGACTTTAATGCCTTTTAAAAGTAGTATTGCCGAAACCGGTTTGGCTCAGTGGATAGAGCGTCGGCCTGCGGACTGAAAGGTCCCGGGTTCGATTCCGGTCAGGGGCATGTACCTGGGTTGCGGGCACATCCCCAGT